GTCAAATGATGAATTGGTGTTAAAGCTGTTTGGCGTTGAAGAGTAGCAATAGTCAGAATTATGTAAACTTTTTGCCATGCCTTGAAGCTTGTTACTGAAAGGCATGCTCGAAATGTAACTTTTAAAGGCTGTTTTTGTTGTTCTAAATCTTTCGTTCCCCATAAATTGTTTACCTGTCTTTCTCGATATTAAATCTTTTGTTGCTATTATGTGCGAGATAGATCTATAACGTCTGGTTTCATGCTGAAGAGGCATGAAACTATTTTTTAAGAACAACCCCCAAAGATCATGTTCTACGTAATGCATGCGGCTAGTTTTCATAATATATGAGCATGAGCAGAACAAAATATGGAATTATAATTAGAAGCCAAAATATGTTGCACTATGAGGTTCATAGAGTTGCTGATTTCTTGTACAGTTGACGCTGTTAAGTACTGTCTCTGCAGGACCTGACTGGTTTGACTGCTTCTCTCATGACATCAGCTTCATCTGTTCAGAGAAGTAACAGTCTAATCATAAAATTAGACTTAATTCACCCAAATCCCCAGCGCTGTGCAATTTTTCTCATCAGTCGCCAATTCCATTAAGAAGTGAATGCACTTATAACGGGCTTTACCTCAGACAGCCAAGGAAACAGGAGTACATTCGTTAACCCGCAAATAATACAGCCAGCATTTTGTGGTTTCCTCGTGTGGTCGTGCCCGAGTATGAGGTATATAACCATGTCGTGTGATGCTTGAGCACTTTACTTTACATCGGTGCTGCTATAACGCATGACTGATAGAAGTCACTAAGCTGGGTTATACTGCAACATGCACCCCCGCCTAGAGATCGCTTAAAAAGAAAAGCACCGTTGGAAAGTCAGTTTTCGTTACACTTTCGAGATGGGCAATTTCTGGCGCCCTTCTCTTTTCATAAAGTTAACGGCGGTGGTGCTCGTCTCTAATTAGGTTTCATTATCATCACACAAGGGTGCATTTTACTAACGGAGTTGACAGCAGGTATGTGGCAATTATACTGGATCTCCTATTTCCTTTCAAGATAGTGCCACCTATTTATCATCTTCAGAAGGAAGACAAACGAATGTCGCGACCTGATCTCGAATTCGGGATTTCTTTATGCCGAGGCAAACACTCTACCGACAGAGCAATCCTTATTCATACCAATTTATGCAGGCAACGGTTCCACCTGAAAAGGTCAAAGAACCAGCCCCAAATGCAAATCATAACTAAAAATGAGATTTAGATGAAACTTGAGTT